TGACCTGAAGTACTTTTTCATTAGAAACTTGCAACAGCCAGGCATTGAAATTAGCAACAGCTTCGTACGTACTGAACTAATTTGCAGCAACACGTACTGAACTAAGTTAGGTTATGCTCATCGTTCCAACATGCTTAGTGATAACCACCTAGCAAGCTAATCAAACATGAAAAAATTGAAGTGCTACTGCTAATCGTACTGTTCTGAATGTGAAAATCTATTTAATTGGCTCTTCTCTAATTGTACACTTGCATAAATCTCAGATCTTGCAAATTACAGTATAACCATAAAAGTCATGCTTTGACTCCTATAGGGCCTTTTGCACTTTAATATGACTAATAATTTGCCTTAATATCACAGATTGGATTACTACCTTTCTAAGTGAATGACATTCAAGAAGGTCATTAAATAAAACCAAGAAATCCTTCTGGTATTGGAGTGTAGGAAAGTTGAGACTATAAAACCAAAAGGTTATATTTACGTTTATTAGAGAAGGTTCTTTACTTTTTATAGGAAAACACAAAATGTTGCGATGTAGTCTAGGTGGTGGGCCTCCTTGATCCACTTGGTGGATGAGGGCGACTCCGGTCCTGGCACCCATAGTGCCAGTGATCCAAAAATCATAGGGCATGGATATAGCTCTAGCAGACGTATGCGGCTTGCGCATCGAGCTTGGTCGTCTCGAGCATGGAGATAGGCGAGTTGTAGACCAAGAGCTGGTACAGAGATAGGCGAGTTGTAGACAAGAGCTGGTGGGCAGCAAGAAACGCATGCACACCAAAGAACAAATCTGAGTCACATGCTTACTTCTATTGGTTTCTACAAAGAGCGGCTAGCTTAGATCTTAGACCAGTCGGTCACTGTCGAGGTCGCCAAGGTGATCTTACAGCACCGCCGTGGGGATTTCTCATGATTTTATGTAGGCAAGCCGCAAGCGGTGGTGGTGATTGGCTGGGTGGTGTCACTGCCTTGGGAAGAGATGAAGTGATGGTAAAAGTAAGCAGGATCCGATGATTCTTCCGTGGGGATAGCCAAAGTCAAGATGTCGACTATAGACTCGTCGCAGACTTGCAGTGAACCTGGATGCGACGAGCCTGATTTGTGGATCGATGGCGGGTCTTGACTTTGTTAGGCTGGGATGGATGGTTGCGGAGGGTGGTGTGCTTGGTTGGGTTCCCATGGAAGAATGTGGCCTCCTCGTGGATCTGGTCATGCCCATCCTAGAGAACATTGTGTCCCTAGCTCCCTCGAGGAGCAAGGACAGTGCAAGCGGCAGCAGGGGGTAGGGGTAGATGTGGGGAGGGATGTCGGCGGCTGCTCGAGGTCATCATGATGAAACCCTTGACGTCCCATCTTTATCAATGGAAGTGGAAGAGCACGAAGTCGAGATTGGATAGGAGTTTGAGTTCTTTTTGGCACCGATCGGTTCCCCACTTTAGAGATGTATTTTTTTTGCGTGCGAGCAAACAGTGGGTTGATTCTAAAAGGGATGGGCACTTTTCAACAAAAGTGCATGACGGACCAAAAATATGACCTCATTTTATTCGTTTGATAGATATCGTATTATTCGTTGTTGTTCGTTCGGTGAAATTTCCTAATATTTGATTGTTGTGTTTCTAATTAGAGCACCCCATAATCACCCAATATGAGGGGATGATAAATGAAAGATACTGATTATAAATTTTGAAGAGCCCGTGGCAACGCACGGGCGTTATACTAGTAAGTTCCTTGTGGTGGAACTAACCTACCCGGGTTCAAGTTCTATATTTAACATGGGTGTTCGCATATTTCTCGGGTGTATTTCAAGCTCTACGGCACTATTCCTTCAATGATATGGCGTGTCCGTCAACTACAAAGTGCTTGTAGTAACTTTGTTAATCTCAAGATAAGCCGGTTTAGTCTCTCAGAAATGCTCATAGGGATGAGTGTGCGTGTGCTTGTGAGTGCCTGTGTGTAATTGTGTTTCTCAAATAATAATAAAAATAGTTGCCAAAAGGTAAACATGTGGCAAGGTTCCATCCAATCACTTTTTTTTGACAGAAAATCCTACCACCTTATCAAGTGACAAGACCCAGCAGAGCTGCTGACTAGGAAGGCTACTATTGGAAGCTGGGAACCCCCACATGGCTCAGCCGTTGCCACTTGCCATGACCCATGAGCCTCCAACACAAGCAACGCAGGCACACACAGCAACCAACCAGTGCTGCCCATGTCATGCCCTCCAGGACATGACACCACCCTCCCTCCCATGAAACCCCTGGCCGACCACTGGCCGTCGTCCGATCAGCAGCATAGATACGCCCCATCTGCCAGCGGCGGGACGACGCCTCCCTCGTCCAAGCCGGCATCATGCCCCTGATCTCCAGCGGATCGACGCACCACGGCGCGCGCGCCGGCGAGGTGATCGAGCATGCATGCATGCATGCATGCGTCCAGGCCGGGGAGGGAGATCGCGCCCTGGATACGGTGCGCTGCACAAGGAAACACACGCATCATCGATGACACACGCGCCACACACTCGCCCAGGCCCAGATTTGGCAGGTGCGCGCGCAAGCGAAGGTGGCCATATGCATGAATCTCGACGCATGGCTCAGCGGATCGAAGCCAGCACGGTGCGCCTGCACTGCATAATCTTTTTTCGGGGATAAAGACCTAAAACGCTAGCCTCCCCATCTGCGTGTGCTCCTCCCAAGGCGCAGGCTCTGCCCGTCCCAAGGACTCGCCATGCCATCGCCATGGGGAGGATGGCGCCAAAATCACAAACAGATGCAAATGTAGCAGCCCAATGAGGCCGCAGATTTCCGCCTTCTAGCTAGGCGCTGCAGTTCGCAACTTGTTTGCCCTGTGATCCGAGTGCAAGTAGGACGATGCTGTGTGTGTGTGTGTGTGTGTGTGAGTGTTTCTGGCTGTCTACGTACCAATCGAGATTTTGGCAGATCTCCTACCTAGTAGCTGTGAGCCTCTGAGCCTGTGATGTCATGGGAAATTCATGGTGCTCGATAGTCAATCCTATGGGGAAATCGGGGTACGTACAGTTTGCAGATCAGTGTGTGTCATGAGGGCATCTGCGGGCTACTTAATTTGGGTTCTTGACTTCTTGTGGGGAATCCAAAGCTCTCAACTAATCATGTACTGGTTATAAAAAAAAAATTCTCTGCTTACCGACCATGTGCTGATCTAACATGGATTGGACTTGTATGTAAGGCTAGTTAATTAGGCCTAAACCACCCTAGAACCTCATCATTAACTTGTTCGTCAATGGACCGGGTGGATGTATTTTACTTGGAGGGAAATGTGACGTCTGGGATCTGGTCGATAGGGGCTGCCTCATGGTCTACGGGAATATTATTGACACTAGTTCCTGACTTCTGGGTATACTCTAGATCATATGGTGTAGTACTCTAGATCATATGGTGTACTCTAGCTTACATGGGATATATTGATTTGTTACTCATCTGTCAAGAAATATGTGTCCTGATAGAACATGCGATCAGATCTTCTTTGTATGTTTCCGACTTCAAAAGTATTTACATCGGCCACTTGTTCTTTTTTCAAAGAAAACTTTGAGGAGAGTTCCTAGAGTACAAATAGGAACCCAAATTTGCATCCTATGAGACATCCACCGCAAAATAAGCGAGATAGGTTACTTGTTGATCACTTGTAAAAGATACCATTAAATATGTCTAAATATGTGTATATGACAATGGTTATGTAAAATTTATTAACACAAACGAAGAGGAAATTAATGACAATAATGCACATTGCTTGAAATATAGCTTGTTGTAGAACAATTTGGTAACAAAGACAAAATGGGCCAATAAGCTAGCTAATAAGTAGGATACCATGAGCATTCCTTCCATCATAGGCTCAATTTATATCTAATGTGATTATTTTTTGTCAATTATTTTTTTGTCAATTTATATCTAATGTGATTATGTTTACATAGTATTTTGTTATCCTAAATAGAGCTAACTGGCCAATTGTCCCAAATCAGACACAAATCAATGGTAACATCACAATCAATCCCAATGCCGAATAAAGCTTCAGAAACCTAAATTTAAATAAATGACCTTTCACTCTTTTAACAAATATTTCTTATTAATTGCTCCCCCAGTATAGCAGGCATGCCTGATTTGATTACTATCTCTGCTAAAATGGACCATGCAATTGAAAACTTGCAATCAAACTACTCTAACATCGATAGCTAACTAGTAAAATAATTAATTGGACAAAACCACGTAACTATATCATCACAGAAAATAGTTTCACAATAAAAATGCAATATTTTACTATGCATTCCTACAAATATTAATGGTCAAATTTGTCTATTAATAAATCCGCAAAATTTAGAACTTGTCTATTTTGAGTCAAAGAAAGTTTTAATTATACTCATTTTCAAATTACCAAGGCGTGGTTGTTGAATCTTGGTATCCTTAAATTTACTAGCCATAGACAAATTTGTGAAACATATAGTACTAGCAAACATGCAGCAGTTGTTTTGACAAACATGACAATCATAATTCACCGAACTGATGCAGAGGTTAGGAGGTACTTCCTCCGTCTCAAAATAAGTGACTCAACTTTATACTAATTTTGTGCTGTACTTATAACCTTCTTTTTGTACCATTTGCTCTGAACTAGCTGGTCGAGAATACGAGAGCAAGCTAGACGACCAAGCGAGAGCACAGCGGTGCTTCTGGGAGTTTCGACCATTTCCGCTTTGGTGTTTCTAAGTTCCACTTGATGAAGGTGGGCCAGGGATGACATACACCCAGACAGGGACCCACCGAGAGGCCGTTCAAAACAGGCCGCGAACAGAATTTCCTCCCTTCGCCCGTCTCTATTTATAGGGCCCAAAAGCTCGCACACACCACACTAATCACCATCACCATCCACCATCGTCTTCTCCACGCCCGAGACACAGTGCCGAGACACGCCGGTTTTCAGCACGGAAGCAGGTGGTTTCACTCTCACCGAGCAAGCGAAGAGCTCCTCCTCCAATGGCGCGGCCACAGCAGCGGTACCGCGGCGTGCGGCAGCGCCACTGGGGCTCCTGGGTCTCGGAGATCCGCCACCCCCTCCTGTACGTCGCCGTCCTCGAAAGCCTATGCGATTGCTCTGGACCGATCGATTTTCTTGGCGTGTTCTGAGTTCTAACCATGGCGGTTTTCTCTCTTGCAGCAAGACGAGGATCTGGCTGGGCACCTTCGAGACGGCGGAGGACGCGGCGCGCGCCTACGACGAGGCGGCGCGCATCATGTGCGGCCCGCGCGTGCGCACCAACTTCCCCGACAACGACGCCGGCGCCCCGTCCTCGTCCTTCCTCTCCCCGGCGCTGGTCGCCAAGCTCCACCGCTTCAACGTGGCGTGCGGCTCGCAGGCCGCGCAGCAGCAGCAGGACAAGGACGCCTCGGCGTCGTCCGTGGGCGTGGACCCGCGCGCGCCGCCGGCGCCGTTCGGAGGCTACACGGGCAATGCCAGCGCGGCGGCGGCCTCGGCGGCCGCCGGGTGGAGCGGCGGGTTCCTGGAGGAGCAGTACGTGGAGCAGATGATCGAGGAGCTGCTGGACTCCAACTTCTCCATGGAGATCTCCTACTAGCTCCTCCGCCTCCGCACATGCTCTGCTCTGTCCCCGCGCCTCCCGCTTGCTCTGCTTCCGCTCCATTTCTCCGTCTCTCCGTGTGTGGTGTGTGGGTGGGTTTGGTTTTAGATTAGCATAAGCTGTGTCGGGAAGAGCTCGAGGTTAGTATGGTCATCGCCCGAGGTCTCTGACAGCTTTGTGTATACAGTAGCTTTGTTAGAGCATATTTCTTCGTTCTTGTATTACTATTGATGTCTTGATGATGCCCTAATCAGTGTCCTCTGTTTCGATCTTCATCTTAAGCTCTGTATACATTATGGAAAAATTTAGCACACACAACTCATCAACCACAAACTAAGTTCACCTTGCTCAGCGAACAGTTTAACTTTTTAAAACGCACACTTTTGTCCTCTTTTAAAGTAAGTGTTTTCTTCAGGGGAATCTCTCATTTAAGTATGACAATGGACATACATTTTTCATTTGCAAAACGAACAAAATACGCACTTTTCATAGTACATAAATGCTTCACGTACTTCCTCCATCCATGTTTATTAGACCCCTTCTTATTTTGGGTCAAACTTCGATCATCTATATGACTAATAAAATATAAGATACATGCTATAAAAGTATACTCTTGAATTTGTTTTTTTAATTAGCTAGGTTGATATAGCCTGCTGCATCGACCCTTCCGGCGCGACAGTGGCAGTGCCAAATAAAGTCCACTCCAAGCGCGTGTCGTTGGTTATGGCGGTGGCAGTGGCTCCTCGTTCAAGTGAAGGGGGGATGAGGAGGACGTTGGCCCCATCGACCCAGCTGCCCCCCTTGTCCGCGTGAGCGAGACCGTTGATGTCGTGGCCCAACAGAAGGAGGAGGTGGACCCCGAGGACCCAGTCCACGCGGTGCTCGAGCTCACCGCCCTCCAAGCTCACAATGAGGCATGGATAATTTGTTTGCACTCACCAACGAGGAGGAGTAGTGGCAGCTCGTGGTTGCTGCACGTGAGTCCGACCCCTACGCCTCGATGGAGGATATTTCGGTCTGGAGGAGGAGGATGATGACCAACGTGAAGGGCGGCGAGTAGATGGCGCACGCCGCCGAGTAATGTAGGTAGTCTAGGTAGCAATGTCGCCCGAGCAGCGACATTGCTTATTTTAAATGTTGTTTAACGACATTTGAAGTTGCTAACTATATGTAGAGAGTATCATGCCAACCAGGCAATTTTAATGAGACACAGAATTAAATAAAAAAAGAGGGGGTTTAGCATGATATCTACCGTATCATAATAAATGATATAGTACTAAATATTTTGCATGTTAATAATTAAAGCCATCTATGATACTGATCTATAATATTATGCATTACAGAGGTAATATTATGCATTATACTAATTATGATATTTTCCACTACAAGCAGCTTAATGCGACGGATATTGGCCCCATTATAGTTTCATTATATTCCTATTAATTTATCATGATGAAACATGTGTTTGGCATGTATGATTTGAGCTTAAATTGCCCCTGCATTTTGAAGAAAATGAAGGGTACATTACGAAGGCTCTTCGTACCCCTGTCGCGGCTTCTATATTCATATGGAGCGTTTCATATGATGATGGATGACGATTATAGATATGACGAATCTGCTAGAGTTGCTCCGACTAGCCGAAGTCCTGAAGATGCAAACAGCATTGCACGACGCAGTACATATCCCGCGTATCAGCCGAGACTTATGAACCATGATGAGCGGTACTAACAAGCTGACCTTTCGCCCCGCGAGCAGACCGAATGCAGAGTGCTACACGGCTACGAATCTGAATCTCGGCACCCCAAGTACGCAGCAGGTGGGAGCACCCGCACTTATGGCCTGACCTGCGTGCGGAGCAGAGCACAGGGACGACACGCGCTGGGTACGTACTCCCTCGCTGCCCGGCACTGAACAAGCCGGATTCGCTCCCTCGCTGCACCATTGGCAGGCAGTGGCCAATCCGTGGATCAGAAAATCTCGGTCGATTCAGGTAGGTGCCGGGGTAATTGCCGCGCCTCTGCGCCCGCGCCGGTGCGTCACCGATGACATTGGCGCTGACGGCGGCCGAGCAGCCGAGGGAGAACAGGTCTGGGTCTTCCTTGGGTGTATACAGTCTTCTCGTGATCGTGGTTGCATGTGGCAGGCACATGCATGCGCCCGCCGTGGTCTGGAGGGCCGGAGAAGGACCGATCATGGCGAGGGGAGGGGAACGAGAGCGGAGAGCCGGGCTCAGTCGCGTCAGCGGCTGCATTTTTTCATCGTTGTGCAATGTGCTGTGCCACTAGTGTGAGGGCAATGAGCTTGAACGTCTAGCGCCGAGTTGCGTTGAATTCACCAGGAGCGAAATATATTTCGAATATCTAAACATTCGGTCAGCTCCTTTTTTTTGAGACAAATTTGGTCAGCTCCTGAATCATCCCGGTGGATCGGAAAACAAAAGCCCATGCGCATGGGCCGTGCGAGAAGCCATGCGTAAGGCCGACGGGTAGTTAGTTGGCTAGGCCAAGCCCGATCGAGGAGGATAGATAAGCATAGTTCGGCCTGGTCATGCGTTTCCTCAGTTGTAAAACTCACTGTCCAGCTCCATCGAAACTCTGAAATTCCTCTTTGGAAAATCACACACTCTTTCTTTCAAATAGTTTTTTTTCCTCAAGTTGGTTGAACTGGTTGGTGCATGAACTCAAAGTCTCAAACACAAAAATGTGAAACCGTATGCTGCTTGTTTTCTCCACCCAACCTAAGTGAAATTATTCCAGACTCATAGGTCAATCAAAATCAAGAGCAGATTCGGTCTACGCATGCTGTGACATTGCACTCTGCCGATCTGTTTTGACGATTGCCAGCCGATCGAATTAGTAGGTCATCCATGCACAAAAATTAAATGCAGATTCAGGAACCAAAGAAGGAAAACAAGACACGTATGTATAAACAACTAGATGATTCCCCGCGCGTTGCTGCGGAAAATATTGCCTAAAGTTGGTGTTTTACTCATATCGACTGTCTTAAAAGGATCAACAAAACAATTATAGATGATTCTGCTGACAACAATACTTTAGAATGATACATGCCTATTGATAGATATGTAAGTAAGGTCAATCATCCTACTTATATCATTTAAAATATGGAGAACAGACAAAAAATTGGAACAGAGGATATTATGGTCAATTACCCATGAAACCAACTGGTTAAAGATTTATATGTTACCATCTCTGATTCTTGTGCGAATGGAAAAAACTACCAAGCTGCAACTCAAACATCACCACCTTGACCACAAGTCTTGATTGTGCCTAATCTGCATCAGAACCCCCATGTAACTTTACTTTAATCCATCCCACAACAGGACGTAAATGAATGTCATACAAATGCCATTAGTCCTGAAAGAATATTAAGACTTTCACCTTCTAAAGACTCTGTAGTGTTTAGTTGTAGTTTCATCAGAAAGCTCCCTCTTGTGAGTAATACTATGGATTGGGTAACATATGCAGAAAAACAACAAACTAAATCCACTGATTAGTGCATTGCCTTTAACAAAATGGATTCATTGAGGTGGTGCCAAGATTGCAAAATAAAATAGCAGTCTAATTCTCATGTTTTCATCCATTCTCTAAAGGATAATTTGTAGTTGAGACGTGAAACACAGTGAGAAATAGAGAAGAACTGAAAGACTGCACTTTTCTAAAATTTGACACCTCATAGTATGTATAACCATTTCCATCTACATCATCATCCATGCTTGACTGGGCAATTATCAAGTTGAAGTTGTATGTTAGGAAACTACATAGTCAAAACAACAGAAATCTGTAAACATCGAGATACTTCTGTTATTCATAGAAGATACATTTAATTTGCATTGCAATTAGTTAATATAAGAACAAATATGTGATGGTCGACAAAGAAGATTATGGATGGCACATAAAAAGAACGTCTGACCTTTTACATAGCAATTTCGTCGAATATCTTCAACAATACACAACATTAAGATCTTGGCAAATATGATTCTCAAAAGGGAATGGAAGAATGGGAGTTGCATCGAGTGGATGATAGCATTGCTTTCCTCAATGGTTCATGAACATGGTTCATAAAATATAGGCTGTGCACAAACAGAATATCAGGGAAAATTAGATCAATCTATAGCATTTTTTGTATATCTTAATTGACCTTTTTTTTCCTGAATCTCGGGTGTACCCATGTATGTGAAATTTTGAGTAAGCACATGACACCATGAAACTCTTCAGTGTGGCTGAGAAAATAAAATGAGCAAAAGTACCTCGAAATATTCAATAAAGTTAAATCCTTATCTTGAGAAACCATAATATTTATAATTTATGCCCCCATGAAAAGTTCATAATTTATGGAACACCATTCAGTTTCAGTGATCTCTCATTGACCATACGAAAGATGAAACTCTAGAATAATTTATAAATGCATCCATACAAATATGCATTTTACCTAAAATCTATTATTCATTCTTTTGGATATAGTTCACCATTTATGCCGAATGATCCTTTACCTAAAATCTATACAAAACACTTATACAGTGTTTAGTATAGATGAAATTATTGCGGAATTCAGGAAGAAAAAAAAGTAAGCCATCACGATCAGCACTAAAACATGTATATGACTTACCCGAGAAACATAAATATGCATATACCTTCAGATCGTTGCATGTGTGCGAAGTAACCCGCGGTAAAAAATTGAAATTTACTAAGAAAAAATGTTCAGAGTTAGACCACAGAAAGCAACACATCAATTCGAAATGCCTTGAGTTATTGCAAAAAGAATTTGTTTACCAGCTAGAACGCAATGTGTATAATCTGTCCACGAGAAGCATGAAAAAGACAGCGATTTCAATACCCCTTTCAGGAATGATGCAAGAGAATTTATTAGAGAGAGAGAGAGAGAGAGAGACTTCGTAGAAGCTAAAAATCAATGGAATAACTTCCTTCTTGTTAATTTATAAGACTTGGAATAATGAATATACTCGATTCAGTCAACTT